GTGCGCCACCACCGCCCAGCGAGATTATTTTCTATAGTAGACCCCTTTGTGGAAAATATCAGAACTCAGTGGGTTTGGTGGTGTAGATCTGTGATTCTGAGAACTTACCACTACTGTTACCTTATCCCAGCACCAAAGTGGGGGTAGGGGAAGAGAGGGGAGGGGACAGGAGAGAGATATTTCAGAACTATTTATTTTTTTGAGACAGGATCTCTCTGTGTAGCCCTAGCTGTCTTGGAACTTGATCTGTAGACCAGACTGGCTTCAAACTCAGAAATCCGCCTGCCTCTTTTCTTCTGAGTGCTTGAATTAAAGGCTTGCACCAACATGCCTGGCTACTAATGCTTAACATTAAATGTTTATTTTGGATTCCAGGCCTTTGTCTTTTGTTTTGTTTTAAAGATTTATTTATTAATTTGTTTATGTATATGAGTACATCATTGCTGTCTTCAGACACATCAGAAGAGGGCATCGGACCCCATTACAGATGGTTGTGAGCCATCATGTGGTTGCTGGTAATTGAACTCAGGATCTCTGGAAGAGCAGTCTGTGCTCTTCACTGCTGTGCCATCTCTCAAGCCCACGATCCATTGTCATTCATCCCCTTTGTAGTGGGAGGAAGTAGCTGCTGTATCAGGGAGAACAAACTAGAAAACAGACACAGTAACAGCCTTTTCCCTCTTCACAGGACAAGTCATTGAAAGGGAAACTGAGTGCCTTCTTATTGGTCTTAATGTCTGCCCAGAAGTAGGAGTGAGTTGCAGCTTCGTATGTGGAAGCTGTAGTCCGCGGCTCTGCTTTCTACCCCAGGCCTTCAACATTGGCTCGGACTTTGCAGGGAGGGTCTTGATGAGGATGTCTAACTGGAGCCGACAGCTGCCCTGCAAGGAGCTGAGGTGTGAGGTGGCCACAGGACCTTAAGCTGGAAGGAGAACCTGTGTTCACAGTTTATAGTAGTGTACCCATGGTGTTCATTGTTTTTAGTGTGAAAGGCACAGTTTGAATGGCCAAAGGGCTGAGTCGTGACTACCACCAGGCAAGCAGGAATGAGTGGACAGTGCAGGCAGGTACCACGGATGCTCTGGGTGGTCTGGCGACACATGAAGGGAGTTTGTTTTACTGGTGCTTTTATTAGCAAGGCAAAGGCTTTTTGCCTGTGGTAGACAGGTTGTGGACTCCAGAGACTGTTATACAAAATTCCATGGATGTCTACACTTGGTCCTCCCCACCACCCATAGAAGGTTTTCATTATATTTGAAAGAGAATAGACATCTATCTTAGTTAGGGTTCTATTGCTGTGAAGAGACACCATGACCATAGCAACTCTTTTTTTTTTTTTTTTAAATATTTATTTATTTATTTTATTGATGAGTAAACTGTAGCTGTCTTCAGACACACCAGAAGAGGGCATCCAATCTCATTGCAGATGGTTGTGAGCCACCATGTGGTTGCTGGGATTTGAACTCAGGACCTCTGGAAGAGCAGTCAGTGCTCTTAACTGCTGAGCCATCTCTCCAGCTCCCAACCATAGCAACTCTTATAAAAGACAGCATTTAACTTATAGCTGGCTTATAGGTTCAGAGGTTCAGTCCATTATCATCATGGAGGGACCATGGTGGCATGCAAGTGGATGTGGTGCTGGAGGAGCTGGGAGTTCTGTATCTCAAGCTGCAGGCAGCAGAAGGAGACTGTAAGCCAACTGGATATAGCATATGGGACTTCAAAGCCTGCCCCCCCCCCCCCACAGTGACCTCCTTCCTCTAACAAGACCACACCTTCTAATAGTGCCATTCCCTATGGGACAAGCATTCAAATACATGAGTCTGTGGGGTCATTCCTGTTCAAGCCACCACAGTGTTCTAAGTAGTTCACCATGCGGGTGAGCTTCAGAGACTGGAAATTTATCCAAAGGGCACCAGGCCAGGAGTTTAGAGTCCCATCAGCAGCTTCCTTAAAGAGCTGTTTGCCTCTTTTGCACATCCTGGAATTGTGTAGCGTCTTGGAAGGCCAGTGCCAGTCTTAGCCATTTCTGTAATAAACCAGAGTTCTGAATTGTGGAGTCTGAGTCAGTCCTCAGAGTAGGACACCAGCCATCCTCTGTACAGCCCACACAGTTTGCCTATCTTGAGAGGAAAGGAATGAGAGGTAGCTAGAATTTGTTTCCCCTGAGACTTTTTTCTTCATCTTTTCCTAAAGAGGTATAAGTTTGTGGAAAGAGTTTAAATAGACACCTACCCTTCCAGACAGGAAATATGTTTTCTTCCTAGTCTACAGATGCACAGTGGTTGACGGCAGAGGAGAGGAACCAACTTATTCCTGGCTTGAAGGCAGCAGGGTGGTCGGAACTAAGCGAGAGAGATGCCATCTACAAAGAGTTCTCCTTCAAAAATTTTAATCAGGTAATTCCTGTGAATTACTGGTGTGCCAGGTTCTGTTTTGGTTGCGTGTCCTGTTACATGTTCTGTTACTATTACAGACTATAGCCTGTCTGGTTACATGTGGACTTGGAGCCACACCCTCTTTTCCTTGTGAGTTAATGATAGAGACTGTGTCTGTTGACTTGGGCAGTTCTAGCCCTGGGCAAAGGTTGATTTTGTGTTACTTAGAAAACCAGTACTGTGTGGTGGTGTACATTTGTAATCCCAGCACTTGGGAAAGTGAGACAGGATTGTGAATTCAGGGTTAGCCTGGACTACATAGTGAGTTCTAGCCGGATCCAAGATGCAAGACCTTATCTAACACACACACACACACACACACACACACACAGAGACACACACACACACAGAGAGAGAGAGAGAGAGAGAGAGAGAGAGAGAGAGGGAGGGGCAGAGAGAAAGAGAGGGAGAGGAGACAGAGAAAGAGAGACAGGGATGGGGGTGAGGAGGAGACAGACAGAATGAGAATATCATTCTCATTCATATCATGAGATATCTCATGAATACAAGATTTTGAAACTGTTATAGCTTTGATTTAGGGATGGGTAAGATAGTTGGTCTTTTCCTGAATTTTAAATAACACTAAATGAGGAAGGATATGAGTGGTTTTTTTTTGTGTACTAGAAGGGTGTATGGATAAGGCCAGTGGAGAGACATAACCTGCTTGCTATCTCTACTTTTTCAAGGCACTTAAAAACACCTCCTTGTATCTGTGCCTCTAAATTCTCCCCTAAGCTGCACCTCTGCCCTTCCCGCCCCCTCTGGCCTGCTCTCCAGCCCTCGAACATTTCTCAAACTCTGACCTCCCCCTGGAGAGACGCAGCCTTCACAGGTAACTGTTCTGTTGGGCCCCACCCTGTTCAGAGAGTCATCTCCCATGACTTTCCCTTCGTGATTACTTCACCGCTTCTGTGTGAGGTCACTGCTTTTGACTGGTTCCTGTTTGCTCAGTTACTTCAGTAATCCTTTGGACAGATTTATTGTTTTTATTTATGCGAGGTGTTGGCATCTAGAAGTCAGAGACCGTGTTTGTTTAGCTCTTCACTGTGCGTAACGTGGCTCCGAGCACAAACAGGCACTGGTGACTGTGTAGACATAGAGTACAGTGTTTGCTGGTTTCTGCAAGGGTGTGTGAGTGCCGGATTCCCACCAGAGGAACCCTTGGCACGTTTTTTCTGGTAAATGTCGTTGGCTCTACTGAGTTGCCTGCCCTGTTCTGTTTTCCTGTCGTCTGGCTGCCAGCCATTTGCTGCAAGTCCCCAACTCCTGAGAAAGCGTGGACCAAACCGATCCCTGTCCCCGCCGCCTCACGAGCTCTGCAGTTCTTGTCAGGGGCTTAGCACGCTGGTTGGTGGCGGGGAGCCTTGCTGGTACAGTAAGCTGTACATAGCTCCAGGTAGCCTTTCCAAGCTTATTAAAATTCTTACATGTGTACAGCTTGACTCCTTTAAGCCTGGGCTAATTTATTGGGCTTGAACATGTGGCTTAAAGTACTCCGGTGGTGTTGCCTCTGGCCCTGCCCTGAGTCGGTCCTCCAGCACAGTGAAACCTGGGCAGGAGGGAAGCTGTGCAGGGCATCTTGGATTGAGTATGCTGTCATTGCTCACTGTCATGGTTCACAACCTGGGCCCTTTGCTTTCAGCTTTTAGTAAGGGGAACCAGCATCAGTATTACATCTGGGATTCCCTTCCCAGCAGGCTTTGTGACTCCCACCAGGAGAGTGGCCTGAGCTGACACTGGTGTTGTGACCAGCTATCCCTATTCACACACAACCAGAACACACCTGGAGCTAACAAGGTGGGCCCTGTCCGCGTCGTCGCTGAGAAGGAGAGGACACACTGTGTGCAGCGTCCTAGGAAGAGCATTAAAGAGCTGGTGGTGAAATCAGCTTGCAGTGGCAGCTTTGGAACGTCCTGAGGAAGCAGCTTTGCCCTCAGTTGCTGTTGTTAGGGAAAGGGAAGCCTGTGATTCAGCACTGTATGAATCTCGCCTTCAGGGAGATTACACAAAGAAGGAGATAGGGCCAAATGGAGACATTAGCCGGTATGCAGGGACTTTCAGTGTGTGACACCATCCCCCTCATGCCTGTCTGTGGGCAGAGACCGCCATAGTCTCCTGCTTTTCCTAACTCACGACGGCAAAGGGCAAGGGAAAACTTTCTTTTTTTCTGCTGGGATTTGATCCTAAGACCCTGAACATGGTGGGCTTGTGCTCTGCCACTGAACTACACCAGTCCAGGAGGGGAAGGCAGTCTCTAACCTGGTATAAACTTTCTGTGGAGAAGACTGATTGACATGGAGGGCTTAGAATATGAGGACCTATGGAAAGACCATTCCAGGTGGAGAGGACAGATCTCCTCATACAAAATAACCTTGCACAATGGGGTGAGAACCAGAGGGTGGTATCCTAGAGTGGACGGAGAGAAGAAAGGGCTCTGGGGACTTGTGGGCATGGTGAGGTGTTTGGACTTTATTCTATGAAGGATGGCTGCTAGAAGATTCAAGTAGAGGAACATGGCTTTTGTTCTAAAACAAAACAAAACAAAACAAAAACAAACAACTTTGCCAGTTCTTCTGCTGCCGATTGATGGAAAGAGAGGACAAGCACGGGGCAGGCGAACTACCTGGACACTGTTGGACCAGTCCAAGCCGGCACCTGGAGAGCGGAGGCAGCAATGGAGGTAGAAGTGGGCAGGGCAGTTTCCCATAAGTTTGAAGACTCTTAACGATCTGGGCTGTGCTTAGTGGATCAGTATTTGCCTGGCATGTGCAAGTCTATGGGCTCCATCCCAGCGCCATACACACACAGGGACAAAAAGACTCGCAGGTGCATTTGACGTTGGGTGAGGAGGTACTAAGGGTGACCCCGGAGTTTTAGTTCAAGCTGTGGGGTAGAGCTGATGCTGATAACAGATGCTCCTGCTGCCACACCTCTCCTGTCGTGATGGGCAGTGTCTCAAGGAAATACACGCTGAAGCAGGCCCTTGCTTCCTCCAGTTGCTTCTGGCCAGATATTTGGTCCCAAAAATAAGATAGCAGGCAATGCAGAAGGTACTTGGGAGGCTCTTGCTAACCTTTGCTCCCTTGTTTGTTTTTCCAGATAGGGTCTTCACTGTGGAGCTCTGGTTGGCCTGGAACTCACTTAGTAGACCAGGCTGGCTTTGAACTCACAGAGATCTTCTGTTTTGGTCTCCCGAGTGCTAGGATTAAAGGCGTGTTCATTTTTTAAGGCTGAAATGCTGGGAATCAAAATCAGGGCCTCCTACATGTTACGCTCTCCTCTTCATCCAGCAAGCAAGGCCTGTGGACGTGAAAAACCTAGGTTCTGGTGGTCCTAACCTGGAACTTTAGCTACTAGACACAGTCCTGCTTATGTGCAAGTTGGGTGTGCAGGACTGTCCTTCAAAGCTCCGTGGGCCTGTACTGTTTTTGCTGTTCTCAGGCATGTCCTTGTTAGATACATGTGTGTGTGTGTGTGTGTCTGTGTGTGTGTGTCTGTGTGTGTGTGTCTGTGTGTGTGTTTGTCTGTGTGTGTCTCTGTGTGTATGTCTGTGTGTGTGTGTCTGTGTGTGTGTGTTGTATGTATGTGAAGGTGCAGGTGTGAGTATACTAATGTGCCACACAGGCCAAGACCAAAACAGGAAGTTGGATGTTTCTCTCTTTTTCTTTCTGCCTTATTGTCTGACAGGATCACTTACTGACCTGGAAGGCTGTGTTTGGGCTGGACTGGCTGGGGCTAGAGAACTATTGGGGTCTACCTGTCTCTCTCTCTGCCCCATAGTGCTGGAGTTACAGGCATAAGCATCCAGGTCTGCTTTTTAGGTTTAGTGAGAAACTCTTTTTCAGGAAGTCTCTCTCTCTCTCACACACACACACACACACACACACACAGAGTCAGAGAGACAGAGAGACATTGGAATCCTTACTTTGAACTTGGGATGGGTATTCCTGCACATACCTGAATTATGCACCATATACCAACACACACACACACTCACACAGACAGACACACACACACACAGACACAGACACACACACACACACAGATACATTCACGCAGACACACTCACGCAGATATATATAGACACACATATACTTACACACACAGAGACAGACAGACATGCACACACCACACACAGATATACACACACACAGACATACAGACACACACGCACAGACACAGACACACACATGCACACATACACAGACACACAGACATACACACACCACATACAAATACACACACACATACAGACACACACAGACAGTTACACACATACGCACACACAGGCAGACAGACAGACAGACAGACAGACACACATGCACGCACACACCCCTCCTCAGGTTCTGATGCTTACATAGCAAATGCTCTTAGTCCCTGAGGCATCTGCCTAGCCTCCACTTTTCGGATTTAAATTTTTAATAATTCATTATTATTATTATTATTATTATTAGGCAGTACCTCAGACTTTTGATCCTTCTGTCTTAGGTGCCTGATGTACAGGTCCTAGGATTATAGGTGTGCAACACTTACACCCAGCCAGTTTTTTTTTTCTTTGCTTTTTTTAAAAAATAGTCTCTTTATTTTATTATGTGAAGTCTTTTTAAAAGAGACTTATTTTTATTTTATATGCATGAATTTTTTTTTTTTTTTTTTTGGCTACATGTATGTCTGTGTACTACACCTATGTATGCATTCTGTCCTACAGAGGCCAAGAGAGGGTGATGGATCCCCTGGAACTGGAGTTCCAGACAGTTGTTAGCTTCTGTGTAGTGCTGAGAATCGAACCCAGGTGCTCTGCCAGAGCTGCCAGTGCTCTTGACTGTTGAGCCATCTCTCCAGCTCCACATAAAATCTCTTAGTCAGGTGCAGTGGTGTAGTCTGAACCCCAGTAGTTGGAAACGGGAAGCCAAAGGATCAAGACCAGCAGGGACCACATGGGACTGTGTCTCAGAACAATA